GAAATTTACAGAAAAAATGAACTAGGTGGTGATTTCATACTTTTTTTTTAATCGTCAGGGCTCCCCTAAGTCCATTTAAGAAATTATTCCATATAAAAATTTAACTTAGAGACAGATTGTCTGAAATACGTTTTATATATGAAACAAAATACATCTCATATCAATTTTCCCTCTTTTATTTACTTTATTTTTTTGTAAATTGTATTTTATTTTTTTCTAATTACATGTAAAAATAGTTTTCAATATTTTTTTTTTAGAAGAGTTTGAGTTCCAAATTTTGTTCCCTTCCCCCTCCTCAAGATGGCAAGCAATCTGATACAGGCTGTACATGTGCAATCATCTTACATTAATTTTTAAAAAATATTTCTTTCCACCTGAATATGTTGTGACTATTTCTACATTTGGGCTAATGATACTCTGAGAGTCAAGAAAATTGTCCTTTCAGAATAGAAGTGTTACGATTTTTAAATTTAAATACATGATTAATTTAATTTGATATAATCCGTTGGCCCCCTTACCCTGACCCTTGGCAAATACCCTTTCCCTGGTGGGTTTGTGTGAAGTTCCTAGAGTAATAGCTGTGGAGCTGAAAGGGGCTTATAGAGCCCACCTAGCCCAAACTTTTATCTCCAAATGAGGAACCTGAGCCTGAGATGGGGGGGGCCCTTGCCTAGACTCACACAGTTATTCCGAGACTTGGGATTTTTACCCCTGATCCAGTGTTTCCCTCTCTGGACCACACTCCTGACTTAGCATAAAGCTCTAAGCCACAGCATCAGTATTTAGATGGAAATCCATTAAGTGCCTCTCCTTACTTTTGGGTGCGGGTGTTGCTTCCAAAAACCAGGATCTGTTTTCAGACTTGGACTTGGTGACTTCTTTGGGAGAGCTGAAATGGGTCCCAGGGAACATCCTAGGGTGACAGTTCCCTTGGAGTACAGGAGAGCCTTCTCCCTGACAGCGTCCGAGGCAGAGGCATCCTTCCAAGCTGCCACCACCATGACTCACTGGGTGAGCACCCACTCACACTCCTACTTTGTGGTTTTGAATGGCCAGACTAGTTCTGGGACAGATCATGTGCAGCATGCCGAATGATGGCACTCGCTGTGTTGGGATAGTGTTACAGGAAACCAGCCTGACAATTCAACATTCAGCTGCTGGGCGGTCCAAGTCTTGGCTCAAACGTTCTACGATCAGGGCTGCTTTTGGTGAGGAGCCTTACCAAAGAGATGTCAGCCACTCAGGCAGATGCCTCATGGCCAAGGGCCATTAGGTGTCTGGGCTCAGGAAGAGATCCTCGGCACTGTGCATGTCCCCTGACTGTGCCCCTACCGACTCCCTGAGGCCAGGAGCAGGCAGACGCCGTTGGGCGGCATCCTTCCCCACAGCCTTCAGCCAGGGCTGGGAAGTCACTGCCCCTCCCCTGACTCCAACCCCTCTTCCTCTTGGGAGACAGTATCGAAGAGTGTAGTGGCAGGATGATTCCTCCCCCCTGCAGCCAGTCTGGTGGGGAGCCTCTGCAGACCGAGAGAGGCGGGCCTTTGGAGGACAAACATACAATTTGTGGCCAGGCCCACCCTCAAAGCTGGCGAGCTGGTGTTCTGTTGGCACAGCCTTCAAGAAGAGAGGGTCACCTCCACCCCACGGTGAAGCCTGAGGCTAGGACCTCAGTGGAGACAGCCTGTCCTCAAATTGTAGAGATGTTAGAGAAAACCTAAGCCCTGCTGATCTTTTGGCCTGGAGTTACGCAGTTCATCAGTGCAGAAATGGAACCATGGCAGATTGGAAGAAAAGACAGAGGAGAAAAGCTCAATTCAGAACTCAAAGAACAATCAAGTCCGTGAAATTTGTTTTTCAGAAGTTTAAGATTAATTTTAAAGCAGTTTCATTTTTAAATTTTTTTGAAGTAGACAGTTTCCTTAAAAAGAATTCATTTTGAATTTTCGTTGAGTTCTTGTGTGCAGAAACTCATTTGTTTTTGAACTTAGCAAAAGTTCCCTGAGTTTTTCTTAGCTTGATTTTTTTAAAAGCCCAGAATCAAGTGGCTTTCTTATCCTTGGGTGGGTCCCAACTATTCATTTGTAACTGGACTGGTTTCAGAATGTCAGCCTTAAGAAATATGTAAAAACATCCATGAGGTCTCACACACAGATCCATCCCGTTTCTTTCTGTTGCCACAACATTCCATACTATCTTTGACAGTTGCTAAGCTCTTTGGAATGTTACAGTACAGAAAATGCCGGCATGTATGTACACATAATATATGTATGGGTTAAACCAGCTTAAAGAAGAGACATTATTTTGTATATTCTAGGCTGTGAAAATGAAAGAAACTTTAGTTTTTCATAAATATAACACAAAATTTCATAAGATGTTACATAAGATTTCTACATACACCAGATTTCATTTAGCAAAGATGTGCATATAGGAAAAAAATTCATAAAAGTATACATCTGAATAGATACTAATATATACATATACATATATATGTGTGTATGTGTATATGTATGTGTGTGTGTATAGGCATTTATACATATACACACACTGTTCCTGAGAAATAACAAGGCTACAAAAGTATAGTTTTTTTTAGCTTTCTGAAAAAAGAGTCACATAGATTTAGGTTCGTTCTTATTGAATGGAGTTATTTTCTGTATCATTTCCTTTGACAGTAGCCATTAGCTTATGTCACAAGAAAAGTCAAATGCCCTGGAAAAAAGAACCTGAGATCGCCTTGGCACAAGCTACAATGTTTCCGTGGCAGATTAAGTCCTGGGTCCTCAGGGTCACTTTAATCTTCAAAAACCCAACTTTATCAAATGCGGGGTGGCTCGGACATTAGAAGTATGCAAATCCATGGTGTGTTGAAGGGTATTGATTCCAGTTCAGCATCGCAAAAGCTATGAAAAGTAGCACACAGGCCTAAATGGCCTAGAAAGAATCCAGGCCATTCACCTGCTGCTCCTTTGATTGCTATTTATAAAACTCATTTGTCCTGAACTTTGTCTCTGATGCTCGTAGATGCTTCAGACTGAACTGGACAAGCCTCATGTCTTGCTGATTATTTTAAATAATGTTTCTGGGTTTCCTGTGTATTGCTTGCAAATGCAGCTTTATTAAAATGTTGAAGCCAGAGGCAGATTGGTATTTTATTTTATATCGTCTATTTTAGCAATTAAAATTTAGCGTTTTGACAGTAGGCCTAGGGAAAATGATTTATTAAATGTTGATCATTGTGTTCCTAACAGACTTCGAACTCTCCCATGATGTTGTGAAGGCATGCACTCTTTTTTCTTAAGTGCTTTGTTTTTGTCTTTATTTTTAATTAGAAGTTGGTAATCAACTGGAAATGTGATCATTATGGAATTTAGAGTTGGAAGGGATCTTAGATAGGATCTAGGCAGAACCTTTATTTTACAGAAGGGGAAACTGAGTTAAGTGGCTTGCACAAGGTCAGAGATAGTTAAGTTTTAGAGCAAAGATTTTAACTCATGCCGTCTCCCTTCGCTCGTGTGGCCTGATCCCTCATCTCTCTCAATACCCCAATTGGTTTCAGTGGCATTGTCATGTCTAACATGGTATGGGATCAGGATTGCAAAGAGCCATCTAGGTCCCTCCCCCTCCTCCCTCGTCTCCCCCTAGAAAGAACCTTGCATGTTTCATAGTCCTCTAATTAGCATAAAATCATTGCATGGCCTTATTTGTATGGATAAAAGCTAAATTCAGGCATTGTTCAAGTTATAAAGTGTTTGACTGGATAATTTTCTGATAGCACATGAGATTTAGTTAATCCTACTTTGATTTATCTGCATATTGGGGTTTGAAGACTATTTAAATGATAATGTTTGGACTTAGTCTTAAGAAAATTCCAGTATGGAGAATGATTACTCCTTTTGACCTCAAAATAAAACCTGTTTGTCTGCATCCTGGATTAAGGGAAAGTTTCGATTGAAATTTCCCAGTTTGCCATTTTTCCTTTTATTTGTAATTTTAGTTTTCTAATATGTTTATATCATCAAAGCATGTTGAATATTCAGTTGTTGTGATTAGAGAACTTATACAGTGTCATAGTTTTAAATAGTAAAATTGCCTCATAAAATACTTAAAATTTGTGGAAATGTTAGTTTGGAGAGTTTGAGGATTATTCTGTTGTGGTTAATAACATTTTCATGGTAAGATTGTGAACTCGACATTTAAACCAAGTGTAATGTTAATTTTACTTACAAGTATATTCTTGTAGTTTAGGGTTATATTTAAATAAGTTCAATTACTATTAATAAAAGCAAATTGTGAGACTTTATTTTGTTAAATAATCTGTGATATATGTGTATATATTTTATATATATAATAATACTTGTCTTTTAATGCAGGAGTCTATTCACTAATGACTTGATACGGATTTTGTTTTTGTTTTTGTTTTTTTAATTACAGGACTAAAATTGCCCCAAAAAAGTGTATCAAAGACAATTGTGTATGTAAACACTTCTGGAAAGCCTGCGGATTTATTCATAAAATTTGCATGAGCTCTGGCTCTTTAATGAGGATTCCTTTAGGAAGAGCTCAGGTAGCAGATGGCAGGCATGTAATGCTCAGTTAAACAAATAAAACCTTTCCATGATGGCGTCTCTCTAAGTTATGATGCATTTAATGTGGTCGCACTATTTTAAACTAAAACACTTCTTGAAGACTGAGAATCTCAGGAGCTACAAAGACTTCCTTGGTACTGGGTGTCATTTGCATTACTAGATGTTAGTGTTTTTTGTTACCTTTTAATTCGTTTTAATTTACAAATACATGGATTTAAGACTGGCTGTTGGGGTGTTTTGTTTTATTCTTCATCACTGTGCTTTTCCACAGAATCGACTTTTAAACTGGGAAATAACCTTTATTCTCCTGTACCTTGCAGTAAGGCAACCCTATCACAAATCCTGCCCTCCAGGAATAATTCATTCCGTTGTAATTGTAACCCAGAGAGTGAGTTGTGCTTTGTTTCTTTGTTGCAGATATGCCAATATTTGGTCTCTGTCCAGCCCATGATGATTTCTATTTGGTGATATGTAACCACTGTAATCAGGTCGTTAAACCACAGGCATTTCAATCACATTATGGTAAGTGCTCAACCATTTAAAATCATCCTTAAGGTAAAGCAGGATTAAGCCTAAAGATGACAGCAACGTGGCACATCATAATGCATTTTATTTTCACAAAGTAGGTTATGTTTATAATTCATAAGTATTGGTCAATGCTCATTGTATTGTAGGTGCTTTGATAGACATAGCCAAACAGTTATTTAATTTTTAAAAAAACACTTTGATGAGGTTTGGATTTTGGTTATTTGGGGATCTTTTCTGCACAGTCTGGCTCTTATACCTGTGGAGTAGAGGAATGCTGGGGTTCTTGAAGACTAGGCCAGTGGAGCCCCCACCATCATCCTGCTGGAAGGGCTTCAGGGCCAGGCCTAGGCCAGACTGTGTCTACTTTTTGATGACCAGTCTGGCTGAGTCCAGAGTGGCTCATCCCCAGCAGACTGGCCACGTGGTGATGAATTCTTTGGCCGTGGCAACCCACGAAACAAAGCAAAGTGCAAAATGACCTTCAGCCCTGCATGTTCCCTTTTCATTTCTGTGGGGTCGGGGTCTTGAGTGGCAAAAAGGGGTTTGGAGGGGACTGCGAATCAGTTTCTAGACTGTCTTTACGTAGTCCTTTGCCTGCCTTTATGCCCTCTCAATGAGGGATCGTTCATTCAGCGACCCACAAGTGGACACGTTGCCTGGGGAAGTGGATCATATCAGTCTTGACACTCATTATGATTGAAACCAGAAGACAAAAGAACGTTGTTGATAAATTGAATGATGGTTTACAGGCAAGGCAAATAAATGAACTGGCAGAGTTGTTTTCATGTGCATCCAAAGGCAAAACGGGATGCTCTTGCCTGGGACATTTAACCACCTTGGATTGCAGTGCTTCTGGTGAATATTTGCAAAAAGAACACTGAAAAAAATCATAAATGTAGCTTTGGCACCTAGGTCTGTTGCAAAGTGTGAAGAGGTAGAGAAATTCTACCGAAAAAATTATTCAGACCCTCCATGTGAAATCAGCCCATGCTTCGATATGTGATGATGTATCAAAGGGCCCAGGAAAGGCTTGCACATGCATATACACATATAGACCCTGATAATATGCATACACACATACGTACATACACGCATACTGGGAGACACGGTTCCAGGAGGCATGAATGAGAAAGGTCAAAGATGTGAGCCTGCTATGTCTTCTACAAGTCTATTCATTATAAATAATTTCTCCGAGAAAAGAATCAGAAGGTTCTTGACATGGAGTTCAGTGTGGTCCAGTGTCCACTGGCACAAATGTCAGAAGGCCCAAATTCAAATCCTTCCTTTGGTGTTTACTGCCTGTGTGAATTTGAATAAGTCTCTTCACCTCCCTGGGCCTCAGTTTCCTCGGCTGTAACAGAGAAGGGATTGGGTGGATGTCCTCTGAGGTCCCTTTCATCTGGAGATCTGTGATCCCATGAGCTTAATATCACAAAAAGTGAAGCTGGTTGTATTTTAAATGAAAGGAGAGGGCTCCTCACCGATTGGAAAGTCAGCTGTCCCTCAGTCGGCTGCCTGCCTGTGGCCAGTCCCCCAGTGTGTCAGAACAAAGATCAAAGTTGGCAGAATAATAAAATGAAGCTGTGGTGCCTCTAGGTCAAAACAGTTCCATCCTGAAAAGATATTAGTGCCAAAAAAGACCAATGGGTGAAGGACAGGATACTGACACAGATCATATCACTTTGGAAGGTTAAATGACACGGGTAAATTCTATGTTGAGGAGACTAGAATAACCTGAAAAGTGCCTTAGGAAATGCTTGACTGACTTGCCATGTGGAGAAAGATGGTGGCCAACATCAGTGCCAGTTCAGAATGTAAACTTGGTTGTAACTCTTGGGGCAGAGAGAGAGCAGCATCACCTTATAAAATGACGAGGAGGGAAGAACCAAAGAAAACTCTGTGAGTGTCACCACTAAACACAGTTGTCCTGAGGGACCTTAAGGTCGAAGCTGGAAGGTGGACAAGAAGCAGCGAAGGTGAGAAAAACTTGTAAGGGTTTTAGTCAGCAAGCCCATTGTTCTGTCAAGGAGAGTGACATCACCGTGTTGGAAGCTGAACTTCACAGACCCAGATGTGCTTAGAAAAGAAATGGAAATTGCACTGAAGAAAATGAAGATGGGAAAAGCAAAACAGCTGGACCCATCCAGAGACACGGGGTTGGGGTGGGGGCCATCCTTTGTTGGAGGCAGCCGAGTTGTGAGGGCTTTAAGGGATTAACTCTCAAGATACCTGGCTCAGGGGAAGACTGTGAAAACATGAGAAAGATTCAGAGGCAGACAAGCAGGTCGGCTCACCTTTGAATGACCCAGGAGTTTCACTGTGATTCAGAAGTCCAGGACTTATTTTAATACCTCTAGTCTTTGGGTGATGATGCATGGCAGTGAGTCACGAGGCCTAGCCCTCAGAGAATTGGAGAGGCTGATCAGGGCAGTAGAGAGGTTGGAGGTGGTGGCATGAGTGAGCAGGCTGCAATATATCAAAAACTAGAGGAGCCCATTGAGAAGATCGCCCTTTCTTGACGTGAGTGACTCCATCTTAGAATCAACTTCCAATTTCATACAAAATGTCACATCCACTTCTCAAAATTTGAGTTGATCCCTTCCCCACACTCAAGAAAAACGGTTTGACTTGTTCCATTTGTGAGGCTAACTAGAGACAAAAAGAAGTGTGTTGTTGTTTTGTTTTTTTTTTCTTCCCCCTTGGGACTATTATGAAGGCTAATGGATTGGTGGCCTGCAGCGATCCATTTCTATTTGACCTTACCATCACTGATGTAGACCAGAGAGACTACTGCTCAGGACTTGGTCAAGAGATGGTTCCAGAACAGAGGAAGCATTCCTCCAGGGCGTGATGAGATGGTGATCCGTTTCTGGAAGCGTATCCCTTTCGCACACTGAGTGACAGATATAAAGTTGCAGATGGACCGCCCAGGAAATCAAACTAGACATTCACCTGGAAGGCCTAGATTTTTCTAAATAGGATTTAGTTTATTTTAAAAAATATTTATAGGTTTTTGGATTTTTTTAGGAACATATTTCTGTTCTTTAAGATGAATTACATTTATATAATAGTCCCTACTGAACACTTTCTTTGGGAAACCCATCTGATGCTCACCTAGCAAATTCCTTGATCTCCACATTATTGAAAGGTCAAGTTAGAAGAGAAGATATATGCAGAATGGTATAATCTAGAACATCCTTGATAAGTATCCTAAGAGGGACACAAACCCAGAACCTTAAGGATTCAAAAGGGAAAGTGATCAATCCCTTCTAACGAGGGAAGCCAGGAGAGGCTCAACATGTCCAAAGCAAAGCTTGTTCACCTTTCTTCCAATCCCACCCCTTTTCCTGGCTTCCCTATTCCTGTCTTCCAGGCTCACAACCTGGTTGTTGTTCAGTTGTGTCCAACTCTTCGTGACCCCCTTTGGGGTTTTCTTGGCAAAGATCCTGGAGTGGTCTGCCATTTCCTTCTCCAGCTCATTTTACAGTTGAGGAAACCGAGGCAAACATGGTTAAGTGACTTGCTTAGGGTCACACAGCTAGTTAAGTGTCTGAGGCCAGATTTGAACTCAGGGAGATGAGTCTTGTGGACTCCAGGCCTGGCACTCTGGGCACTATGGTGCCACCTAGCTGCCCTCACAGCCTGGGAATCATCCTTATGAGGGATCTCTCCCTCACTTACCATGCCCAGTCAATTCTACCTCCATACCCTCTTTCTCTCCGCATGGGGCTACCACCCTAATTCTGGCCTTTGTCACCTTTCACCTCATCTACCAGGTTAGAATGCCAGTTGGTCTCCCTGCCTCAAGTCTTGCCTCTCTTTAGTGCTCCATTCAGCTACCACAGGTTCCTAAAGGATCACACACACACACACACACACACACACACACACACACACACACACCACTTTAATTTTTCTTCTGTGTTTGACCTCTCTGAAGTGTCTTACTGGCCATGAAATCTCTGGGGCAGAGTATGGATGCTTTAGTCATTTTTTTTTAGCTTAATTTCAAATTGCTTTCTGGAGTGGTTGGACCAGTTCACAGTTCACCAACTATGACGGCATGCCTATCTTTGCACAGCCTTTCCAGTGTTGACTATTTCCATCTTTTGCCCTTGTTGCCAGTTTTCTCAGTGAGTGGTGAGACCTCACAGTTGTTTTCATTTGCATTTCTCCAATTATTGATGAATTGGATTAGTCTTTTATGTGGCAGTTTATAATTTGCAGTTCTAAATATCTTTTCTTCCAAACCGTCCTAACTGTACTAACTGAACTTGATGGTGAAAAGAGCTTTCAATTCAGAGTCCAGAACCTTGCCTCTGACCTAAACTCTTCATATGGATGTGGCCGAATCATTTGAATTGTTCTGGGCCTTAGTTTGCTGACCTATAAAATGGAAACAGTTGTGCTTTTATCAGCTGTCTCACTGGAGTATTAGGAGGAAAGTCTTTTTTTTTTTATTTGTTTTTGTTTGTTTTTGTTTTAAGGCAATTGGGGTTAAGTGACTTGCCCAGGGTCACACAATAGTAAGTGTCAAGTGTTGGTCTGAGGCTGGATTTGAACTCAGGTCCTCCTGACTTCAGGTGCTCTATCCATTGCACCACCTAGCTGCCCCTGAATTATTTTTCTGATCCAAGCAATGGCAGAGGAAGTTTATTCTGACAGCGGTGCAGTTTACGATGTTCAGAATAGTAAAGACTGGTGGGATCTAGTTGTGGGGCAGATGAGTCTGGTTTTCCATCTGTTGAATGTATTGTGGAGTGGATGGCCAAACAAGAGCCACTGTGGGGGTTTCTGTGACTGCAGACATTTCTCCAGGGAGGGCTTCCCCAGAGAGAAAGAGCATGCAGAGAAAGCAAAGAAAGGTGAGGTCAGAGCCCTGGGGAGCATACCCACACATGGAGGTGACTGGAGCAGGAAGGGGAGCCTGTCAAGGAGACAGAAAAGGTCAGAGCTGCTCGTGGGTAGTTAAGGCATGAGCAATAGGGAATAGT